CCAGGCGGCCCCGGCCGGCGCAGCTGCTCTGGGCTCTTCCGGCTCCTTTCCGACTCATCGTCCTCCTCCGGCTGCTCATCTTCTTCCTCCCCGCCCAGAACGTCGATCTCGCCGTCTTCTCCGTCGGAGTTTCGGAGGCTGGGCTGCGGCGCTGAGCGCTGGCGCTCAGGTCCCGGGAGGCTCATGGACTAGCAGGTGCCGGGACCGGGCGGGCGCCGCTCCTCACCCCGAGGGTCCCAAGAAGCCACAACGCTAGTGGTTACCGTTAGGTTTGGTTGGGTTTCTCCTCGTTCCCAAACTGCCCGGCAAGGATACGTTTTGCCTTTTATGAAAGGTGCTTGGAGACACTGTGTCCTGGACTCTCCCCTTTATACCCTTCTGACCCTACCTCAGAGCCGATCGCTCCCTCCCTGACGAAGTCCAATGATGAAGGTCCGATGGCAAACCCCACAGGGCAAGGGCGCGGCCCCCTCCTCCTCACACCCACCTCTTGAGATTTAACCAGCTTTGCCTGGGCTGTTACTGCGCTTTTAAATGTGAGCAACTAGAAGAAAGAAAAATAGGATTCCTAACCACGGCTACCTGCTTTTAGACTTCTCCCCGGAGGACAGAACTGCGAGGCAGGGAATGGGGCCCCTGAAATCTATCAGCTTTTCAGAAAGAACATGTAAAAATGAATGGGTGTTTTCGTGTTGCATACGTGGCTAATCGCCCATTTTCATTGGTGGATTCTGTCCTCATACAGAACATGAAATGAATAATTTTTAATGTTCTCACTTTATGCCAGAGCCCAGAAGGAATGTCTCGTGGTCCTCTACACAAGTGCCCCCAAATGCTTTTCCGGACTCAGCTTTTCAGAAAAGGCTGACATGTCCTAGCATTAAATTATGGGAGTTCGGGGTGAAGTGAAGGCAAGAAGCCAAGGTTTCCCCCACCTTCGTAACGGGTAATTCTCCAACTTCGGTCAGCATTCTGCCACAGTAAGAAATATCCTTACACCGCTACCTTGCACACAAAGGCATAAGTGCTTAGAATGGGTTCCAAAAAACAAGATACGTCCACTACAGCGATCACTGGTGGTTTTGTTCCCCCTCTTAATGGTCAACCAACTAAATTGGTTTCATCGCACAAATCCTATTTTCACAAACTGGCCCAAGATACCAGACTATGCCTTGTGTATGTTTGAGTTCTTGACCTCCTTTTCTTCTCCCCCTTCAATCTTCAGAAATTTGAAACACTTTTAGTGTAATAAATACAAAACCTGAAGGTTCAGTTAAGAAATCCTGGGCTGCAGTGTCACTGTCAGTAGCTGTATCACTGGCTTGACATTCAGTATCTGCACTGCATAGGAGCAGGATGACAGCAGCCCTTCACTCAACTGAAATCCTTGGCAGTAATAAGATTTCCTTTTTGGCTTCATTTGAGTTAGTTCAGTCTTTAGTGGCACCATTAAAGTAGAACACAATGTTATATAAATAGGGGTCTTAAGGTAAAATATTATGCTGTGGTACATACTGATAACTTAAAACCCACCTACTTGGGAAAAATTCTGAGGAGGCATCCAAAAAAAATGTAGCATGAAAGAATGGCATTGTTATGCCATTGCTTGTCATCTAGTAAACCTTCCATTAGTGTCTGTAAAGCGACAATGAATTTTCAGTCAGACATCAGAAGCCATCCATAAGGGCAAAGTCTAGCAAAAAGTAGCTTCATGCCTTTAGGATTAAAAATAGTTTCAAGTAGCTAGTGGCTCCAGGATAAAATTTAGAGAACTTCCCTGGAAAGCCTTTTTTGTTCATCTTTACCCTTCCTCTGAAGGATCTCTGATTATATGCTGTTTGAAGTGAGGAAAAAACACAATGTTTGAGCCTAACAGATTTGTGTTTGGATACCAAATTTACCAAGGACTATTTGTGTGCTCTTATAAACTAAGCTCCAGGAGGCTTAGGACAGGTGTCTCATTCAACCAGATACTCCCTGGTGCCTCCCCTCACCCCTCTGCAGGAGAGGCACAGTTCTTTCTATCAGCACAGGAATCCAATTACTGGGGAAAGGGAGTATTGTTAGTTTTCCCAAAATCAACTTCTGAGATGTGGGTTATTTACAAGCAAAAACAACAAGAACCAACACTGATGGGTGTAAGTCAAAGGGGTTGCAGGAAAAAGCAGAGTTCCCTATGGTCATAGTTGGAACACTTTGAACAACAAAAGTGTTGGACTGTAATCCAAAATATAACATAAATGGGTTCACATTGATAAAAATGAGTAAGGCGATACAGGGGGGATCTCTTGCAGATATATATTATTTTATTATTATTATATTACTTAATTGTTGTGCCCTCAAGGTCCTGTTATTCAGTACAGGCTGCACAATGCTCTTCCTTGTAAGGAGGACAGTATGGGGTGGGGGGCATTGTTCCACTGGAGAAACCTGCCAGCTTTGGCCAGGTAATCAAAGCCAACATCAGTAATCACAAATCAGGTCTGTGATGGGCACTCTTGTTATGACTGGATGAAAACAGTACTCTTTTCTCCCTCCTCCAGTCTTAAGTCTAATCATGAGAAAAACATGAAATAAATTCCAACAGAAGAGCATCCTGTGTAACTGTCATGTCTCTAAACTATCACCAAATCATCAAAAAGTTGTCAGAGTCATGAGGAATCTAAGGAGACATGAGTACTAAATGTAAAGTGCTATCTTCAGACCATAATAAGTAAAAACTAAGCATAGGAAACAAACTGGACTTAGTAAGAATGTATCAGTACTGGTTCAGTGGTTGCAATATGCCACACCTCTGAGAGATGTTAACTGGGCAGGGGATCTGAGGAAACTTATCTGCTCAACTTTCTATAAATCTAGAACTTTCTTTTAAAATTAAAACAAGGGGGACACGATCTAAGAATTTCTAAGAGGAAATTCAAGATAGCTGATGAGTGGGAAAACAAAATGCAATATATCCATACAAAATACCACTCAGTAATAAGCATGGAGTACTGATAGATAGTACAATGTGGATGAACCTTGAAGACACGTTAAGTGAAAAGAGTGTTAGGATCTAAATGTTTTTTAAATGTCTCTTGTAAGGCTGTGTTCAGAAATGAGACACATGAAAGGTGATCAGATCATAGCGTTGCTAACTTCAACAGTGGATGAATTCTGAGTGCAGAGCTAAATTCGCTATTGGAAGTGGGGAGTGGTTACAGTAAGTAAGTAGGTCACGCAGGGAACCTGGAAGAGTGTATTCTTGCTCCTAGCCTCTTCCCCTCTGGCCCTCTCATTCTGCTTCCTGACTGCCATGAGATGAGAGCTTTCCTCTGCCATGCTCTTCCTCCATGATATTTCTGCCTTGGGTCCAGCCACCCATGAACTGGAACTTCTGAAATTGCAAGCCCAAATAAACCTTTCTTCTTTTAAGCTATGTATATCCCAGCAACAGAAAGGTGAGTGCCAGAGTCTAAATAGAGAAGACTACAGAGAAAATGATTTGTGGAGTCTGAGGTAAGGGGAAATGGATACAGGGTTTCTCTGTGGGGGGGTGAAAATGTTCTAGGATTAGATAATGGTAGTAGTTATCTACTCTGTGAAATACTAAATACCATGAACTGTATTACTTGATTTGCATTGATTTTATGGTTTATCAGTTATATCTAAATATATAGGTTGTCATTCCAAATATATCAAATATTAAAACAAAGAGCTGTAGCAATGAAAACTTGGTTAAATGCTTTGGAAAAATTCTATTGGAATATCACTCTAAACAAGAGAAAAATAAAGAACTCTTATTGTCCTAATCCATCAATCCATAGTGTTACTTTAAGAATCAACGCTTACCTTGTAGCTCCTGCAACACTTAACAGGGGGCCTGGGACATAAAGGGCACTCAATAGTATTAACTTTTTTCCTAAGATTGAATAGTTTTGTTTTTTCCAGAACTAATATGCTAGTCTGAAAATCTAACTTTTCTAACTTAAACTTCAGGATGATAATGTCTGCTTTCTTTCCACTTCACCCTAAAAATTAAAGATAATTTGATTATCAACAAAATGTGTAAGATTGCTTCTAATATTAAAACTCATTATAATAAAGATGATTTTTCTATAAAATGGAATACAACTCAGCCATAAACAATGAGAAATTAGATTCATTCATAGGAAAATGGATACATATTGAGGATATACTCCTAAGTGAAATAAATAAGTCACACATGTGTAAATACTGAATAGTTTCTCTGGTGTGAAAAACTATAATAGTACATAAGATCCTAATGATATAATTGACAATGTGAAATAGGAAGAAAAGGGCTAAAGGTGTAGGGAAAGTGGAAAGGGTAGGGGAAAGGTAATAAGGCAAAAATATGAGAAAATGAAAAAATGGAAATACAATGTTTGTAAATGGGGAGGGGAGGGAGGGGGTGAAGGGAGGGCAGGGACAAGGGAAAAAATGAGAACCAAGACCTGTCATGTAAAGGTACAAGATCCCAATAATGAATGTAACTGTACTGTATACCTAAAGTGTACCAATAAACTCAATGAGAGAGAAAAAAAAAAAATTATAGCTGGGCATGGTGATGCACACCTGTGATTCCAGCACTCAAAAGGCTGAGGCTGGAGGATCACTGTGTATTAAGGCCAACCTGGGCTACAGTGAATTTAAGGCCGTTGAGACCCTTTCTCAAAAATCAAAACAAATACAAAGCACTCTAGTGTGTCTTTCTCATCCAAATAGGGTCAGCTGCCTGATACTGAAGGTCAGAATTCACTTCTTTCCACATCACCCCACCAATTGAAGGCATTTCCATTAAGAAGGGAAGTCATTTCAAAGCAGTCTAAAGATGGTTTTCCCACCTACACCAGGAATCCAAAGGAAACAAGTATTCAATTTGTAGAAGCAAACAGGGTCATACTGTAGCCTTTTATCTTACTTTTGTTGGTAATCACCTTCAAAATTCAGCATCTAGGAATTAAAGCTTGTAGGAAGAAAAATTTGTTTATCCCCATTCTACCCACAATTCTGAAAGAAAACTTTTTTTTTGGTACTGGGATCAAACTCGGGACCTTGCACTTGCAAGACAGGTGGTAGAACCACTGAGCTAAATTCCCTGCCTTTTTTTTTTTTTTTTGCACCAGGAATTGAACTCAGGACCTTGTGCTTTCGAGGCAGGCGTGGTGCCTGCCACTGCACTAAGTCCCCGGCTCTACAAATTTTTATTTTTTTATATGTGGCTGGGAACTGAATCCAAGGTTACCCCTCTAGGGCTAAGACTTGCCCCACCCCAGTACTGAAGATTGAAACTAAAGCCTGACACATACTAGTTGTGGGGATCATGAGTATTGGTCGTAAGTATTGTTAACTTTAATAACTCCAGATGTGTTAAGTTTCTCCAGTTTAGCAGGTGGTGTGTTTCCTTTGTGGAATTCCTGATAGTTACAGTTTCTTGTCTCTGACCTTTAGATGTGTGGTTGTCCGGGTTACTGCTACCCACGGTGGGTTGTTTTTGTTGAGCTTGTTTGCTCTTTTCCTGTATGACCTTTCAGTTACTATGGTAACCCCATCCCATAATAGTTTGTGGTTTATTTGCTTTTAAAGGCCGACGCTTGCCGGCAATAAACGTCGCCTTGATCAGACTCTTGTCTTGGAGTCCTTCCTTTCTCTCTGCCCCATCTCCACCCCGCTGGTCTTTCAGGTTTGAGACACTGCTGGACAGTGCTCTGCGTGCGTCTCCGGCTCGCGACAACTAGTCACTGAGCTACAGCTACAGCTTCCAAGAAGATATTTTAATAAATCAAATATATATATATGTATGTATATATCACTGAAGCAAATAAAACACACACACAAAATACTGCAGGATAGCAAGAAGGGATGGTAATTAAAAGCTCCTGGTTCTGCTCAGGAGCCTAAGAGAAGGAAATGCTGTGTAGGGTCTCAGTAGCTCATACATTACTGACAGCCTCTGAAAACTGAAAGGCATGAAGCTGTTCAGTTTTTCCTAAGGTGATCCTGTCAATCACCTACCTGCTCTTGCCTCATACTCAGTGCTAATGCTCCTTACAGTTGCCTTAAAGTTGGCAGTGTTCTTGCCCCTTTTTAAGAGCTGAAAGAAGTTTCCAAAAAAACCATTTAAGATGCGCAGAAGCTTAAACTTTACACCAACCCTTAGGAAATTCACATTTGTTGAGACCCTATACTTGGGGTTCTTGAAATTTAACCCCTGGAATAATCTAGTATAATACTACCATATCCATTTTAGGAGTAAGGAGGCAGAGGCTCAGAGAGATACAGTAATTTATCCTGTTCCCCACAGTAAACTATACAGTTTAGATGAAACATGCCTAAACCCTGATCATCATGAAACCCTGAAAGTCTGTAACAAACAGAATGGCTCCCATCATCATACTGCAAAAATAAAACCTTCAGGGTATCTATAGGTTTGAAAGTCTCCTGAAGATACAGGTAAAACTCTGGCTCTGATCACTTGAAATACTTTATTTTGGTAAAAATAATAGGACAAGGTACCCTTCAAGGAATAAAACCAATGTAAAATACAGTATAAAATAAAACAGTGAGATATCAGTCATTCAGACTGACAAGTTAAAATGTATTAGGTTTTTGGAAATAGATACTTTCATACACTGCTGAATAAAGGCAAAAGGTATGTCATTTGGAAGGGCAATTAATATCTCTTAAAATTTTAAATGTGCACATCCTAGAAGCTAGTGATTTCACTCAGGGCAATTTAGAGAAGCATTCATACTTAGAGCATGACAATTGCAGCACCTTTTGAAAATTTCAGCAGTAATAGAAACTGGCTTACCTGCCTCAGCAATCACACCCAAATCACTGCCAAGCTTTAAGTCACTCCCCACTGTATTGAGAATAACCCAAATGTTTACTCTGTCATACAAGAAATGACAAAACTGGTCTCAATTTACAATGCCAATTTCATCTCATGCTCTCGCTTTCTATCCTTCTGTCACCCTTGTCTTGTCTCCACTGATATCTTCAGGGGCCTCGAAAAGACTTAGTTCCTCTATGGAGAACCTCCTTTCCTGCTCTTATGAATAACTTTGAGGGAGGGAGGGTGTTACAGACAGGTCGCACCATGTAGCTCAGACTGGCCTCAAACATGCAATCCTTTTGCCTCAGCCTCCTCGTGCCAGGATGAGTGACCCCTTTGGATTCAGTTTTCAAATGCCACCTTTACTCAGGTACCTTGCATGAGCTCTCAGCCTAAAGTCATTTTTATTTATCAGTCTGCTTGAGGCTACTTGCTATTTTCTCACATATGTCCCTTTTCCAGACTGCAAGCAGTTCGATTACTTGTTCACTGTCTGTGTGCTATTTCTACCCCAGCATTGATACTTAGATAAACTCCTAGTTCCCTAGAAACTATTTTTTTAATTGACTGCCTTCTATACTATATTCTGAATTTCTATGAAGCAGTTAAGATAGATTTATATCAGTCATAGAAATATCTAAAGCAGACTATTATATAAAGAATGTTTCATTTAAAACACATACATTATAGAAGTAAAACCATAAGGCTGCCTATGACAAGTGTCTAAGTTTCCTGAAAAAGCAGCCTAGAGTATGGCTATGATTCTTGGAAAATAATTCACTTTGTGAAACATAACATACATGTAAATGAAAAGAAATGTCTGAAGGGACAGAGACTGACTTAGTCCTAAGTGATGGATGAAGCAGGGGGATCTGGGAAGATCAATTTCAGCTGTAATCTGCATTTTTGAGACAAAAATATGTTGATGCAATAGGTGTACAATAAAACACTTAAAGATTAATTTGATACATTTTAAGGGAAAAATATTCATGGGTCTTATAAATACAGATTTTCAAGAGTACAGATTACTATTATTTCCAACATTTCTTCCAAAACAGGGCAACTAATTATAAGCCACTTTTCATGGTATGGAAGTGATAGACCCAGACACTTAATATCTGTCAAAAGATAATGTCAATGGTAATGTCATTGTGACCATATTATAAATCTAAATTATTAGGAAGAAGAAACTGTGTAAGTTCTACTACATACTAGAAGCTATTTTGAGTACATTATAAACCTATTTTATCCTTGAGTGGTTGATATTTTATTATCCACGTTATAAATAAGGAAACCAATCTCAGATTAAAAACTCAGCCTGCTAAAAAAACAACAGCACTAGAATTAAAGCCCAAATCTATCTTGAAAAATCAGTGGATTTTCTACTGAGCAACTCAATGCCACAAAATAAACTTATTTTCTCAAATACGAGCTAAGGCAATGGGTTCAGGAGGCAATAATTAGGTGAGTATAGAGAAGCTAGATTTTAAAAGCACAGAAAGATCAGAATGATTCAAAGAAGGCAACTGCAATAACCAATTTGCCTTCTGCTTCCAACCAGGACAACTATACAAAACAGATAAATCTCCCTTAAAATTCTGGGGAAAAAAATTCCCAAGGCCATTTTGATAGCCTCCCCCAGCCTCATCCCCTTTGAGACAGGATCTTGCTAAACTGCCTAGGCTAGACTCGAATTTGTAATCCTCTTCCTCAGCCTCCTGAGTAGCTGGGACTGCAGGTGTTCATTACCATGCCAGGACTTGACAGCCTTCTACGATATTTAACAATGATTCGGTTGAGAAAACTCTTCACCTGTACTTTTCTCTAACAATTTGAGTACTGTACAGTCATGCTCACATGGCCTTTAGGAATAGAACAAAACTGATTCACTGAATACCAACGATTTATATAAAGATCATTATATCAAAAGTTATAGCTACAAATGATGGCTTATGCCTCATCACTTTTTTACCTTACATGGGAAACTGAAGAAGTTCACAATAACTAAGGTAAATTCACTATCAGTAAAAATTATTCAAAAGTAAAAGTTCTAAAATAAATGTATTACAAAATAAAAGACTGAAGTTTCATCATTCTATCACTAATGCATAGTACTGACTATAAAAAAAACCAGAGAGAGAGAGAGATTTGGGCCAGGGATTTAGCTCAGTGCTGCTGCTGCCTGCCTCACAAACACAAGGTCCTGGAGTTCAATCCCTGGTACCAAAAAAGAGATAATTTTATTTCTTTGACTCACATGTCTTCTACTTTCTAAGTCTTTAAGCACAAGAGAGAATTATTTCATTTAATAAAATGTGGTAGTATTTGCTTTAAAAATTTTTTGGGTTAACAACATTATATCTTTGCAATCAGCTGAAGTCCTAAAGGAAAAGGAAAATGTTGAAAGTTAGCATCATTATTATAAATAATGGGTAAAAAAATTCAGCATGTATAAACTTCAAAACAAATTCTGAAAAAAAGTTTGTGGAACACTTGTCTCCCAAAGAATAAAATAAAAACTTCAGATGATATTATATTTTATTTTATGAATGTCAAATGTTTTACAATACTAATTTACTTTTATGTATTGTATAAAATAAATACCATCTTTAAATACACTGGAATTCACAACAGAAATTATGAAAGAATACTGGTTGAAATATACCCAGTAGGAACTTATTTTTATTATCCAATCCTTTGATAAAATACCTCCAGTGTTACAGACAAATTTGATCTTCTGCAAAATGTGCTGTTTCATGCTTTTCTGTTTCTGTTACAGTAGCTGTAAATAGTTGTTTGAGGATGTCCTTATCTAAATTCCTGCCTGCAAGCAAAACAAAACATAGTAATTTTATTATGGTTATTATTTTGACCTGATGCACTTATCAATTCCAGGTTTTTAAATGCTTGGTGATCTTCACAAATTTACAAAAACAATAAACTGTAGCAGTAACTGAGTGATGGCCTCTCTAACCAGTTAAGTTTCAAAACCAAACTGGTATTTTCTAGAATTGTGTGAGGAGTGAAAGCCATAACAAGTTCATATGATGGTTACCACATGATTAAGACAAATACATGAACCATAAGCTTAGTTACAAAAGATCTGATTAACACTTCTTAAGTGCATTATATCCCTTTCAAGTCTTTTTTTTGTGTGTGAGAAATTTTATCCTTTGTCACTTACCAATAAGGACCAATCGACTTATTCTCTCAGTATCATCTTTCCAGCTCACTGGAGTCTCTTCCAGGTCATAGAGTTCATGGACACCTTGCACAATCACTTGTTGTGGTTTGTCTCTGATTGACACCAGACCCTGCTCAAAGAAAAATAATCAGCGTCAACACAGCCTCAACACAAATTTGAAAACAAAAATAATTCATAAATGTGGATTACATTTTTCTATTTCTTTTTCAAAATATAAACTCCTAAAGCTGTGAAAATTATTTAATTATAATTATTTGTTCACTGAAACAGTTTTTAAACCTCTAGTTAAAAAAAAGTTCTGTGTACACTGATTACTTTAAAGAATCCCCTTTTCTGATAAAAAATAAATAAAAAAACTAATACATATGTTCTTTCACTGTTATCACAACAAAAACTGAAACAACAAAGTAAGATGCAATGTATAGCCAGGCATGGTGGTGCATGCGTGTGATCCCAGAACTTGGGAGGCTGAGGCAGGAGGATTGCTGTGAGTTCAAGACCAGCCTGGGCTACATAGTGAGTTCCAGGTCAGTCTCAACTACATAGTGAGACCCTGTCTCAAAAAACAAACAAAAAAGAGCTGTGTACAATAGTCTGCTGACTATCCCTAGAATACTTTTTACACAGAATTAGTAGGAAAATCTGAGAAGTTAAAGGGTTAGGGCAATTAATCAGTTTGAAAATGTGTTGTAACAAGTGGTCTACACAATAGTAAAAAACTATTATATTCTGTATAAAAGTTCAAAAATTATACATTTCCAATACAAAAATTGTTGGCATATTTGTGTATTTTGGGTGTGTATCCTTCCTGTTTTTCTTCTTCTATGTCCAGTTTTGTGTTCTACTTTTTAAGTCTGAATTTTTAAATAAACTCCTTAGAAAAAATTTTAAGTATCATTTTGTGTTACTTATATAAAAACTGACACATTTGCTGTCACTAGAGTTATATGTTAAACACGATGATGACTTTAATATTTTACAACAGGAAAATGAAGGAAGGGAAGGTTATGAAAATAAACTGTTTTGCCCCCAAATTCCTCAGTGTTTTGATAGGAGGAAGGCTAAAGGAAAAATCAAAGAGGATAACTATTAAGAAATGATCATACAAATGCAAGATCCAGACTGAGATGGTACCAAAGACAAGCCACTGAATTCTACACAGGTCTCGAAGGCAGCATCAGTGTAAATGCCCAAACTACTGCTTTTCTAGAAAACCTAACCCCACATTGAATACTAGGAGATAAAATCAGTCAGAGAAGAAATGCTTAGGCAGTTAGAATCATGGAATGTTGATGATGCTACAGTCATAAAGCAGCAGCAGGATCTGGCTTAGTTCCTTTGTATGTATGAGAGTGATATGCAAGAAGATGGAGGTAGCCTATGTTGTTTTGCAGTGCTAATCTTAGGCAGAGCCAGCATAATGAGTGAAGCAATCCAAATCTAAATAGTCTGTTCATAGGCTCAACCTGTTATCCTAATAACCCCATGATGTCAGTGCATACTTGAAGAGAGCATGTAGTTATTAACAGCAATAAGAACTTTATGCACATTTGGGAGATCACAAGAGTAGATACTCAAATGAATTCTCTCAGGAAAAAATGACTTTCATAACATATACCCAAATGTCCAGTAATATTAATGGGATCCCAAACACAGAACAAGAATTCTTCTAGTCCTCTGTAACTTTTTTTAGTTTAAGACAAAATGTTCAGTGTCTGCTAAATGCCTGAGTTTCAGCAGCAGCAGGATTTTTCACATTATTTCTTAGAAAAATAAAGTCTTCTCTAAGTGACCAATCTGTGTTCCAAGAGGAGGAGAACTTTGATGGAGGCAAGCTCGTTATCCAGGTAATGCGTAGAACACATGGGCATGAGAGCGGGGACTAACATTTTCAAAGCCCACAGACTGTTTTAGTTACAACACTAAATGAAGCTGTGCAAATAAATCATGCCTTTTGAAATAATTTTAATGCTCCTTTTAAGTAATGGAAATGACGGAAAAGAAAGTAGACAAAGGTTATTTGTGCTAAAACCAGTATCTAAAAAAACCAAATACAGTTTATAAGAACAGCCAAAGGATTGGCCCAGAAGCCTACGAAGGTAAACTCCACACTGCACCTTTAGCCGTATGACCTCCATGCAGCGATCGTCCTTGTTTCTCACATTCTTTTCCCACAGGAGATTCTGTAACAAGTGACATATTTTAATAAGATCAACCGTCGCTAACAGCAAAACTACACAACAAAACAGCTGATAAATTATTAATCCATTAAAAATTGCATTACCTGAATAAATACATTTAGACTTTCTTCCTTTATATTTCCTGGTACTTCAAACGTGATTGTAACAATACTCTGTAAATCAACAGATAATAATCTTTTATAGCAATATCTATATTTTTAAAAAATATAACCAGTTTTAAGATGAAAAATAAGTAACACATTAAATCTTATATCTAACAAGATATACTAATTCTATCCCTTCTATTTTTCTCACTATATGTGCCGATTTGTGGAACTACCGACTCTTATTTTCTATATTCTGTAGAACTCATCAACACTTTGGTATTTACACAAAAACATCTCATGAAAGGGAACTCATTATTTAATTCCCCTCTTCTGGGATTCTAGCAGCAAAAAGGAGTATACCACACCGACTGCACTGAGCCAGTGTTCTCACTTCATATTCTCATCCACTCTTCACAGCAATCCTGGGGAGTAAACACAACTATTCCCATTTTATAAATTGGAAGAAATTAGGCTCTGAAAAACAAACTATGAAGAGACAAGAGTACTACTTAAGTAAAAGTATGGCTGGTGCGGTGGTACACACCTGCAATCCAGCTACTTAGTACTTAGGATGGTGAGGCAGGAGGATTGCAAGTTCAAGGCCAGCCTAAGGAACTCAGTGAGATCCAATCTCAGAAATTAAAATAAAAAGGGCTGTAAATGTAGCTCAGTGGCAGAACACCTGCCTACCATGAATGAGGCCCTGGGTACTGAAAAATCCTCAGTACTGAAGGAAAAAAATTCTGCTTTATCTGAAAAATAAATAAAATGTTCTTTTTAGCTCTAACTGAACAAGCATGCACCAAGTGCAAAAGAGCTCTGAGAGATGAGAATGATAGCATAGTAGTATCATCTTTGACTTAGAATGTTGACATCATTTTCAGAATATAGGCTTTAAGATTTATTTTTCATCCTGATCTTGATAAATTTCTCTCTACTCTAAAAAAGTAGAAGCTTAAGATAACCTCTAACTCATCCCACAATTAGAATTTAAACCTCCCCTTGGCAATATGACCTAACATGTCAAGTTTAGTGGTGAAAACACACAAAGACTAGGCCTAACAGAAAACACAAATTCCACCTTACGTAAGACTTGCCATGCTCAAAATGGCTTAAAATAGGCATTACTAAAGTACAGTTTTGAAAAACTTCCTAGAAATGTTTATCTAGCCGTGCATTTTTATTCACTATTACAAAATTATATAGGATCACAGTAGAAAATATGAAAAGACCAGCTCTGTTTTTAAATGCAAACTTAAGAGAATAACTAAAAGCATTAAAGATCAATTTAGGCACAGACATACTGATTGCTACTCAGTCTCCACCACTGCTAATTAATATTAAGAAATGTAGACAATACTTTCATGCTCAGACGTGAGAAATACAAATCAACTCTTAAAGTTTCAAGTTGGACTTTAAAATGTGAGACAATTTAAAGTACTTCTAGTAGTTCCCCGATATCCATAGGGTGTGAGTTCTGAGACCCTAATTATATCCCTGAAACTGTAAGTAATTTTGAACCCAAGTATAATGAATGCTTTTTTCATCTTAACTGAGCACTTATTATGTACTATGGTCACAGCTTGAGGTACAACAGTTAAACTAGCATGGAGTTTCTTTACTTTCTTCACTATTTCATAGTGTGAAGATTTAGTCTTACCACAGACCTTAACAACTGCAACATATATTTTCTTTCCTTACTAGAACAAGAACTTTTGCTTTTTCACTTAAAGCAAGCACCTTACAGCTTGTCTTTGGCATATATAAACAAATTGTCACTGTCACTATGCTTGTGCTTTGGGGCCCAGATAAATAAAGAGTCATCTGCCCACAGCTCTGCAACAATGAGGCTTACTAAGGGACTAACAAGACAAGAAGGGCATGCAGCATGGACATGGTGGACAATGGGAGCACTTCCATCCCAATGACAGAGCAGGATGGCAAGAAAGTTTTATCATGTTATTCAGAATGGCATGAAAATTAAAATTATGAATATTTTATTCCTAGAATTTTCCATTCAATATTTTTGGACTATAGTTGACCACAAGTAACTAAAACTGAAAAGCAAAACCAGGGGTAGAAAATTACTGTTCTGTTATTATAAGCAAGAAGTAGAAACAACCTAAATTTCATCAATGGATGAAGATGTGGGATATACATATATAATATACATACATAATATCTATGTATGTGAGCATTTTTCAGCCTTAAAATAGAAAATTCTATCATATGCAATAATATGAAGATGTTATGCTAAGTGAAATAGGCTAGTAAGAAATGGTCAAAATTTTGCATAACTGCACTCATATCAGTATGTACAATAGTCAAACTCACAGAAATTAGGGGGGAAAACTGTGGTTACCAGTTGCCAGAGGAAGGCAGAAGTGGGTAGGTGCTACTTGATGAGTACAGTTTTAGTCACACATGATGCAAAAATTCTACCGATCTCCTGTATAACCATGCAGTGCAGATAACAATACTGTATTGTACACTTAAAGTATGTTGAAAGTAGATCTCAAGTTAAATTTTTACCACAATAAAAAGTACTTATTGTTAATTCTTAATAGACATACCCTACTTTTAAATTACTGATGTTATAGATTAAAATATGCATTTAAGTTGACAGCTTTGCTTCTTCGTTAAAGAAATCACTATAAATACCTAAAATTCCGTATCAAAATATACAGCAAGAATATATTGCAAAAAGTTGCCAAGTAAAACACAATTTGTCAGTTTCAAAAGATAGAAATTTAGTCTTCAGAAGTTTTAAATGTATTTTATTCATAACTTAGTCCGTCCCCACCCCACTACTGGTGATTAAGCCTGGGGCCGGCGTGCTGAGCGACTACCCTACTACTGAGTTAGACCCCAGCCCATAACTTAGCTCTTTAATACTGACTGTGTCAACACAGGGCTCAATATAGTCTTTGCTTCATTATTAGCTTAAAGATTTTTATGATTTTTTTCTTTTGCAGAGAAAAGAAATGACTAAATATTTAAGGGATATAACTGGTTTCAGTATGAGACCAAAGAAAGTTAAAATTAGGATGATACATAATTGGACTGAAAAAAGGCACTCTATGATTTTGGAACTATGGTTTTCAATACCAGTAAACTCATTTCATATTAGAAAAACTATAAGGAAATGCCTCTAAAGTAAAATTTTTAACATAACTCAGGTGTTACTTGGTCTTTATTTTTCTTTAACCTCACTTTTCTATTCTTTTGCAAATAGTTCCTAATATGCAAAAACTTCTACATGTCTTCTTCATCTGGAAAATGATTCAAGCCCACTATTATGTTTAAAATGAACATCTGTATCTGCTTAATCCGGTCCTGTAGTTGTCACTTCCATCTTCTCTGGGACAAAATACCTGACATCCACAACTTCAAACAGGAAAGTTGTGTTTTGGCTCAGTTTCAGAAGTTTCGGTCAATATTCAATAGGCTTAACACAGAAACGGATGGTGGAAGGGCCTAGGCAGAGGAAAGCAGCTCACATCATGGTGACCGAGGAAAGAGAGAAGTGAGGAGCTGGAAAGGGAGATACAGCCTTCCAGGTAGCCTGTCCTAGTGACTACTCCACCTCCTAACAGCAATTCGGCTATATTGCCCCGTCATTCTATCACCTTACAAAAGTCAACCTATAAATATACGAGGCCTCTGGGCAACATTCTTGATCTACACCATTAACAAGCTCTCTGTCCCTTTTTGCCTGGGTGAGGCCTCTACCATGATATTTTGCCACTAGCTACAAAGTTGAATATGTAGCATTTTCATCCAAGTCACTTTATCTTCCAGATGTGTCTATTTCTAGGTTTCTCTAGTCAACCTAGGCTTGTTTCCTATCATTTCTTCCTCTTCTTACTGAGCCATACTCAGGTTGTTCAGGCAAGTCTAGCTGCCAAACAGCTCCTGTTTTACCCCACTTCCCATCTCTGTGTAACCACAGTGAAGGCCATCATCACATGCTACTGTATCTAGACCAATGCCACTGCAGCACAGACCGGTCTAAGTTCTCTTTGCCTCAAAAATTAAAACCAGTATCACAGACCAGGATTCCAGTACCAATCAACTTTTGCACCAAAAACCTGCTCTCTTTCTCACTTTCAAACGTCTGGAGTAGACTTTCCCTTACTTCTTTATGTTAAAATAAAACAAAAGTCCTACTAGTTGATTTCTTTTTGGTATTTGAGTCAGAATAGAAGTTATTCCTCCTTTGACTAAGAAGCAGCACAAAGAAATTCTCCATAACTTTAGAAATCTTTTATTAGCTTGACTTGAGAGTTATAAGGATATGTGTTTCTGTATGCATGGACAGATATGTATATATAAATACATGTAAAGATGCTTAGACTTGTACACTAATAACTATTTTATATTAAAAATACTATCTCTTATGATGCCTCTGATGGGGTTCAGGAACCCTATCCCAAAATATGATGTTGGCATTTGAGCAAACAGGAAAATCACTCTCAGTTTTCCCCCTAAAGCAGGTTATCAAGCCTAGGGAAGGCTTTCTGATCTCTAATGAAGCAGGTCTTAAGACTCTCACATGAGATGCCCTCCCAATGCCCAGGACAAAGGAGCATCCTTATCCTGAAGACAAAGGGTCATAGGCAGGACTCTACTAAACAGGCCTTGCTAAATTCCCATCCATTTGCTATCTTTAGATCATAATCTTTTCCTTATTGTATTTCTGCCTGACTCTCCATCTTTCATCAAAAATAACACACAGGTTGGGCCGGGGATTTAACTCAGGGGTTCCACTGTCTGCCTCGCAAGTACCAGGACCCCCCCGTGCCAAAAAAACAAAACAAAAAAAAACCCATAGGTTTACTGATTTCTTCAGGCCTTCATTATGAAGACTTCTATATCATGAAAACTTATCACATAAAATTATATGCTTTTCTCTTATTAATCTGTTCTGTTATAGGGATCTGAGCCATGAGCTTATCAACAGGCAAAGAGATACATTTCATCCCCTATACCCCAGATCCACTAAACTAAATGAGACTATTTAGGTCTTTGAAATCTCATAGTTCTTAATCTGTAATACTGCATTTTGCTCTATATTTATATACCTAAAGCAGTAGAGAGCATTAGAATCTTTTGCAGAGCTTTAACAAAAACAGACACGCCCTATTTACTGGTACAACGACACAATGCCTGTGACTTTCTTTAACACATTCTAGCACAAATGATAAGTACATATAGATTCAATATGCTATTTTACTTTTATGTCTGAAATTTGCTGCTTAAAAATATATATGTGTGTCTTTAAAACTCCAGCAAAGAAATTTTGGGAAGATAGATGAAATAAAATGTACGAAATGCTGACACCATTTACACGATCACAAGAAGCGCATTTTACTATTTTCTCAACATTTCTATAATGTTGAAATGCACACTAAAATGCAAATGTCCAAGAGATTTAAGGGGCAGGAACTACTGAGTATCCCCCCAAAAAGGCCACAAGTGATTCTTAATTATACTGCCATTTTAGAATCATAGCTTTTCATTCTTTTAACAAATAGTTCACTGAACACCTATCAAATACCAAGTCTGTGCTAAGCAATGAACTTTATTATTTAAAGAATTTAGACACTAATGTAATGAATAGCATTTTAACCCAAACTACAAGGCATTATAAATACCGCAATGGGGTATAGTTACAATATATGATCAACAAATATGGTGAAAGTTTAAAAGAATGATAATAAAAAACAGTGAATTAATCCCTATCAAAATATTCTCCCACTTTGAACACACTTATTCCACTGTTTTTGCACTTTCTGAAACAGTGCTGAAAGTCTTTTTTCATAAGTATCGTTAGCTGTGGCTGCCTTGATGTCCCAAATTGATTCAAAATATTTACATTTCATAATCATTTTGACTTTGGGGAAGAGCCAGTTGTACAGTGCTAGATCCAGCAAATAACATGAATAAGGCCGTACCATGATAGCTTTATATGACAGAAACTGCCATAAATGTTACCAATGAGGGATGATTGAAGAATATGGTGAATGTTTAAACTTTTAAAATTAATTACAGTAAGGGCCGGGGATTTAGTTCAGTGGCTCTACTGCCTGCTTCACAAGCGCAAGGACCCGAGTTCAATCCCTGGTACCAAAAAAAAAAAAAAAAA